AAAGGCAAAGTCATTGTAGAAAGGGCTTGGCATGGGAGACACGATGAGCACAAGGGAAAGAACTATGACAATCAGAAACTGGAGCAGGGAACACAGGGGGGTATATGTACCAGTTGGGTGATGAGACAACTGGAGGCAGCTGGGTGGACCAGGCAGGTGAGCAGGATGAGTGCAATCAGGGGAAACACACACAGACATGATGAGACTAACGGGACATTACAATTTTCATGTAAAAATAAAACATGTTATCACCGTTTAATGGAGATGCACAGAAAATAAATTCCCTTCCAGCAACCTATAAGAATTAAGACAATCCCATTTTCTCAAAATGATTTCCAAAGTGCGGTTGGCTCACCGGTAATATATTGTTCACACATAGCAGTTTTCTGATTAGTTTACCGCCATCCGTTACCAAGACAAAATAAATTTAAACTTTGACCTTCAAGCCATTACAATCTGAAAAAAGTATGTTTGTGGAAATAAAAAAACAAGCATTATATGCCATTTGCCTCCGCTGATATATTTAGGTGTTTTGTGTTGCGTTTTTTGATGACAAATATTAAATATTGCATACAGGTGCACACAAACGCACAGCCACAACTGTTGTCTCTGCCAATGTAAACACAAACAACAAATGTATTCATGCACCCACACCCATCCCAAAACCATACATCCATAAATACAGTCAACTGGGCACCAAACATGAGATATATAAGACTCCCCGATGCCTCGGGAGGGGAAGGGCTTGAAGGGGAGCGTTTGAGGCTCATATCCCCAGCAGAGACCGCTCCTGGCAGGGCTACTGAGTGCCTCCCCTCCCATTGCCCCCTACAAACCAGTGAAAGAGGAAGGCCCTCCTCTCCTTACATGTCAACTTCAGAGAGCATGCCTCTTGCTGCCTCAAAGCTTTGATACCAAAATAGTCCAGGAAGCCTCTGTCTTAAAAATGCCCCAGCAGACCTTGATTCTGAGGATAGAGGGAGGGAAATGAAAGAAAAGAGGCTGGTGGAAGGAAAGCAAACACAGGAGGACTAGAGAGTATTACTGGGAGAGAGACAAAGAGGGAAACTGTATTGGGTTCCTTGGGTTGCTCAACACTGTAGTGTACTGCAAACCCCTCAAGCAATACGATTCAATCTTGATGAACAAATAAATCGTTGCATGGCAATAGGATACATATGTTCACTAGGAGAGGGGCAAAAAATGCCACCATAATGTCCTCCAACAATAATGACAATTTAGTTCACTTTTGTCATAACAATTGCCGTAGAATGTTTTGGATTCTCGCCTCAACTGGCGTGTGTGGCAAGAATCAAACGTTCTTGAAAAAAAATGGAGCACTTCTTGATCAGACCTGTGATTGCGCAGAGAAATGAGAATGAGCAAATCCAGCCTCCGTCACCATCCCTGCTTGAAAAGAAAAAATCCACGCACCCATCGACCATCGAAAAATGGAAGACTACTTTGGGATGGAGGAAGATGACAAGAGAACCACCCACATTTTTTGCAAGCCTCTCAAGGCACTCAAAGTTGTTGACAACAAACTACCAACGCTGTTGTCTAGCAGCACGTGGTGGTAATGGATGTTTTTGTGAATGCTCCTTCTGCTGGGTAACTTTCTCAAGATTTGGGCCACTGAATACTGCCATTCCTTGGCACTCATGTCCAAGGCCCCTACCGTCTTCCCAATGGTTTGCAGACCAGGGGGTTGGATGGCAACAAGGTAGTCGTGAGGAACTACTCAATGTATCTTGTCATTGGGCTGATCATGAGCTATTCAGAGGGCAGATGCTAATGCTGTAAGAACTGATGGACAACAATTAATAAGCCTCATCTGTGACTGCAGAGAGCAGGTCAAGTTGACACCGTGGTTCAGGTAAGACCTCCAAGGCATTTAGTGTATGCTCTGTTCAAAGGTTGCATTAACCAGATATTTTACCGGGTATATCCGTAGGGCTTAACTTATTATTCCGCCTTAATATCAGAAAAATCATCTTACCCGTGCTACCTGTGCATGGATATAGTTGCAATAAAAATTATTCAACCCCCCATTGCACATTAGGTTTATTGGCAAAATATACAATTTCTCAGCTGTTTGCAATAAACAAATTACACAATAATTGTTTAAGTAGTTTAATGAAACTAATATTACAAAGGTTTTATCAAAATTCAACACAAAATGCTACTTTTAATGACTTTAATGAATTTGCTGCAGTCTCAAAATTATTCAACCCCTTCGTGGTAAGCATCTTCAGTACTTAGTAGAGCACCCTTTGACATGATTCAACTACCTGTGTCAAGCACACCTGGTGCAACTAATCAAGGGCTTCATTAGTTCAGGTGTGCTTGAGATGGAACACATAAATACCTGGTCTGGCTAGGGGTTTGTTCGGAGTGACGTTTAATTGCATGTCAGAAATTAGAAATATATAGTCAAAAGAATTGTCCAAAACGTTCAGAGAAGAGATCATTGCCTTGCACAAACAAGGAAAAGGATACAAAAAGATAGCAAAAGCACTGAATGTCCCTAGAAATACAGTTGGAAGCATAGTTCGCAAGTTCAAAGATGAAGTAACAGTGGCTACACTACCTGGACGTGGCAGAAAGAAGAAGCTATCAGCGGCTGCCACCAGATTCCTGAGGAGGCAAGTGGTCAAAAACCCTCAAGTGACTGCAAAACACCTGCAGCAAGACTTGGTGGCAACAGGCACTGAGGTCTCATTTTGCACAGTAAGGCGCATACTAAACACTGAAGGGTTCCGTGCCCATTCTCCAAGACGCACACCACTACTGACCCAAAAGCACAAGAAAAGATGGCTCCAATATGCTGAAAACCATACAAATAAGCCACTGAAGTTTTGGAATTCTGTTCTGTGGAGCGTTGAGACAAAACTAGAACTATTCGGGCCTATGGATCAGCGGTATGTCTGGAGGAAGAAGAATGAAGCATATGCTGAAAAGAACACCCTGCCTACAGTGAAGCATGGCGGTGGCTCAGTGATGCTCTGGGGCTGATTTGCTGCCTCTGGCACTGGAAACCTGCAGCGTGTGGAGGGCACGATGGATTCAGTCAAATATCAGGAAATCTTAGGAAAAAACGTCATGCCGTCTGTAATGAAGCTGAAACTTGGGCGTCATTGGACCTCCCAACAGGACAATGATCCCAAGCATACCTCAAAGTCCACCAAGGCTTTGTTTTAAGAAATGGAAGATTCTAGAGTGGCCATCACAGTCGCCTGACTTGAACCCCATCGAAATATCTTTGGTGGCATTTGAAGGAAGGCGGTTGCAAAACGCACAACAAAGAATATTACTGAACTGGAGGCCATTGCCCAAACAGCTGAGAAATTGTATATATTGCCAATAAACCTAATGTGCAATGGGGGGGTTGAATAATTTTGATTGCAACTGTACATGGTACAAACCGCTTGGGTCTGCTGTACTAGGGAATGTGAGTGAGAAGAGGGGCATTTTCTGAAAATACATATGCTACAGCAGTTGGAGTAGATCTCCACATCCTGCTTGCACTTGGATTACAGCTGTGCTAGATCTAAAGGAGTCTGCCAGGGAGTTAGTGGGCAACCAGCTCTCACTGGACTCTTCCTAACAGGCCTGCGTGGCTGACTTAAAGATTGCCTTGCTTTAACGCCTAGCTCACCCTCCTATTTGGCCATAAGGTTCATATTGGGGGACTTGCTCATTCTGCAGAGAGACCCATTGGTTCATTCAGCTGCAAACCCCTCGACTCACATATAGGTCCCTTGTTCATTCAGCAATGCCATGGTGCTAGTCAGATGAAAGCACCTGTCAAACAAACTGCTGGAACTGTGATAAATTAATGATCAAACGGCTGACTGGGAAGTAAAGTGGCATTGCAGAGACCTGTAAGCACCAAAGACAAAGCAATATAGACAGAAAGAAAGGGAAACGGTGAGAGAGGGACCGAAAGGAGGGATGGACAGTGAATGAGCGAGATGCAGAGAATGTAGGAGACAAGAGAAAGGCGAGGGAAAATATATATATATAAGATGACACAGAGGGAAGAAATCAGAAATGAAGAAACAGAAATGTAATGGTGTTTGTATGCATGTAGTTCCTTTAGCCTTCAAAGTAAGGACAGTTTGAGGATGCATCAACAGTCGCTTCAAATTTACACACCACGCACAACGTAGTGGTGGCGTACACTGAACAAATAAGTTTGCACCCATTTTATTACAAGTAGAATTATTATTATATTATTTGTTTGAGGGTTAACTCAACGACGCGCAGTGGCGGGCCTAACAACACCCCCGAAACTGTTACATTATTGGATGATAAAGTACAGCCTCTCGTACCTTATTGCTTAATTATTACTCAGTTTTACGATACTTTATGGGCGACTCAAACTGCCTGAAACAAACTCTAAATCTAAAAGCTACCAACTTTAAAACAGTGGCCCAGTGGCTGTATTAGTTTGTGACAATGTTACTACATTGCAATAGACGAATACACTTTGATAGAGCGACATTTTTATTATAGACATACAAGAGAATGTTATCAAAAGACTGCAGTCACACACAATGGAAATTCATTATTCATCTGCAAGCTTTTTCGTAGGTCTTTAAACAAGCATTTCGTCTTTCTGTGTGATTTAATATACTTTGGAGGGCCAGAGATTTCTTATGGCTTCTGAGGGAAAATGTAGATGATGTCAAAGAAAAAGGTCTCGCAAACAACACATGAATGCGGGGTTTTGTTTGGGAGAGGAATTTGTTGTGAGTGAATGTTGTTCTGAGCAAATTTACATCCCTATTATGTCGTCCAGGCGTTGTGACGGAGCGCTGCAGCTCATCTCATATGCAGTTACCCAGCTAACTACCAGCCTTCCCCCTGCTGCTCCACCGGCCTTTGATAAGAACAGAGGGAAATTAAAATCATGAACCTGAATTATGAATCCAATGACGAAATAGCCTCCAAAGGGTTTTTTCTTCGCACCGTCTCTCTTGGGCGATTTTCTCCTGCTCTCTCCCACTTTTGCGCTTGTTCTTATTTTTTCTTTCCGTTCCAGTGTTTTCTTTCTTTCACTTTGTTCTTCTTTCCCAGCACCGCCCTCCGTCTCTTTTCGTTACAGAGGAATTCAACTACTAGCATATTCCATAAGAGCAAGAGAGAGACTGAAGGGGATATAGAGGAGGAAAGTTTCAAACGACAAAAAACACACAGTTTGATAAAACTGACGAGGGACTCAATTAAGGCTTCCCTGTCAAAGCAGGATTGATATTTTATTAAGTGGCAGTGTGCCATCCGAAGGGTACATCAAGCGACACATCTGTAGACGAGAGGACTGCACCAGCCGGGTAAGAGGGACACGTGTTGCCGCTTTCGGGAAACATCAGTCGAAAGTCACTTCATCACATCTGCTGAAAAATTAAGAAGTCCCTGTATTAGTATGCTTATTTACTTTTTCATGCACCACGCTAAGAATTTGACGAGAAAATGTCGCTGTCCTCCTTTTTCCCCTCCTTTTATATTGTACACATGCCGGAACAAAGAATGCCGGTATTAGCTCTTGTTACATTACCACCGGAACAAGTGCGACAAAGATTTTGCCACTTCAAAAAAAGGCAACCAACAAAGCCCTGCATAGTCGCTGCTTCTAAAAAATAGATTTATAGGGCAACCTATGTGCATCCTTTTTAACTGCGTCTAATGTTTCCGTTGCCAGCGTGCTTCAGCATTGAGCATATTCAATAGGGGAACTACTTTGACTAGACAAAATGTAATCTTTCTAATGATTGTGTCCTGCTGCATGGACCCCAAAATACTTACCAAAATTATTGTTTGTGTTCATGACGTAAAACTCTGGTCTACCGTTCTTCTCATTTTAATTCGCTGTGGATAAGAGACAATAAAACATCCAAAATGTAACACGGAATGCAGCTTTATTTATTGCTGAAAAAAAAGGATTTGGGTGTAATAGGATATGGGCTATAAATTCACCTCTGTTTCTTTGTATATATATTCACCAACTTTGTCCCAAATTTATTTTTAAATAACCCAATCCTTCAGAAAGATCAAACATGGTGGTAGTTAAAAAGAAAATAGCAGTGCTCTGATTTGCCTACAAAAGGCCACCGTGTTACAGTAAAATTAAACTTTAATTCCAAAGTCTCTCTTGTATTTTAGATTGCTCTTGTCGGATGTTGTACTGTTGAAAAAAAACAGATGCCCCTGTCCACCCACACGCAGACACACACAAACATAACAGTGTGTGTGCCTGAGTTTTGTTATTCTACACAAGTATGGCTCTGCATGACTACTCGTTCTGTGTGTGTCCGTCTGTGTGCACGCGCGTACATGTTCGCATGGTGGAGCTGACACTGGGTTGTACAGGAGCTCAGTGCTGACCATACATAGTCTGTTTCATCTAGAACAAAAGCACTGTTGGAGAACACAAAAGGCCAGGTTCAAAAGCATCGGCAGCCCAGGCCTGGATACATGAAACAATCAGTGTAAACTTGTCCACAGCTAAGAGAGCGATGAAGCACACACAACAATGCTCCTCGTGCTCAACAGACACACTTCTGTCCACATAGGACAAGATTAAAGCTCTGGTTAGATCAAACACACTGTTGATGATTAGCGCAAAAGAATGTTTTTGTGTTTCTATCATTGATTAATATGTTGCTCCCAAGACGAGCAATAATTTATGCATGAAGTGCACGACTGAAACCACAGCACTGCTGTGTGTAGTTGGTGTTGGGGTGTGGCGGACGTGAAAAAGCAGGCGACGTGCGTGCACATGGAAGGCCATTTCATTTAATGGTAATTCAAGTATATAAACATGCTAATGAAATAAATAGTATGGCTTTGAAATAAGTTCTGGAATGATTAATCAGGTGTTAAATACGTAAAGAACTAAATATAGAAAATCAATCTTTTCATTCTCTCCCCTGCCGATGATAATCCTGTGTTGCCAGTAGGACAGCATGGTGATGCTCTGGAGACAAAGCTGCCAGCAACATTGCGAAAATCACAACCTGGCGATGGAAAGTTCGCTATTTGCTGTTTTGAGTGCATAGTTTAGTCTCCTCCATCACTCTATCCAGTATTATTCTGACTGATGGATCCGTCAGTGGTCTTTTTTGTCTACTAAACAAATGAAAGTTGCAGCTTGTGCCATCGAGGCGACGCTTTCATCAGCACCCAGTGGTTCTGTTTGAAGTACCTCCCCCCCTCTATCTCCCGTACCGGCGCCGAACTTGATGAGCTGGTACTTGGGAATGTGACATTCACATTCAGCTACCACATGTGGCATACGCATGTTTATTTTCCTGCTGAAATGTGGTTTTATTGGTCAGTCAAATAGTTAAATAAAACTACATTTGGTAAGAGTTACATTTGAGTGCTTCATCTGTGAAGAAGTAGAAGAACATTATCATCCGTAAGTTGGTTCAGGTTGTGTTTTGTTCTTTTCTACAGACCTGCAGGCTGTTCCACTGTGACAAAATAGGGTGTTGTCAGCCCAGGGGCATCATGTGTATGCTGGTCTAGCTTTGGTCGCTTCGCCATCAATTTGCTACCGATGTTTCCTGACATCTACTATTCGCCTCTCCAACAATGTGCCAGTCATGTCCTTTTTTCATTTTTTTTCACAATTTGTCTTTACAATTTGTTTTTGCTAAATCAGGCCTGTACAAGCCACAATTATTGTCTTTTATTGTTGGCAAAATAGCAGATGGTGGAGGATCAAACAATTGTAGATGACGAGGGCCAGCAGTTATTTACCCCCACAATTTTATGATATGGATTTACAGATGAATGGATGGGTGTTCCGTGTGTGCCATGCTGATGTTGCCAGCCTGTGGTAGCTAGTTTGTGTTTCCCCTGGAGTGAATGCATTGGAATGGATGAATGATAAACATAAACGTGGGTGTAAGTTAGAGAGCGTCAATCACAAAAAGCACTGAGGTCTATAGCACAAAACTATAACACAGAAATGCCCCAGGGATACAAAACCCGCATAGAAACCGTGTAGAAACCAACACAGGAATTGTTTTGGGCTCAGAAAAAACTGTTGCCAATAGTTTTTTTTCAACGAAAACACACTCTTTTAGTTAATAATAACTTGAATTTTGTGTTGAGGAAATGACGATGGATAACAATAAAAGTGTAAAAGGTGATACAATCGCAACAAAGCTTTTGATCCCTGCACCCACAGAGACATATCCACCTGTTGCAGACTAAATACTAGCTGTATTTATTTCAGAGCCAAGCCTGAATTGAGGGCTAATTTGGTCAAATAAACTCAAACGGAAATATATTAGTAAGCTCCATTTCGGACTGTTGTTTTTTTCTAGCTATTCTAGCTTATTTGTAGCTTGGCACCCATTCACACTTAGCGGCACATACATAAATACACATTCACAAATTGCTCCAAATATGTATATGCGTTTCCAAAAGTTGGAGGTAAACAACTTTAATCATCCTGTTCCACGTCGGTTCCACTGACAGTTTGTATTAACAGACTGGGAAAAGATGAGACAGGTGGAGAGCCAGGATATTTTACCCCATTGGAGAGAAAGAAAATGTAAAATTGCAATGAAAGGGAAGAAAACCCAACAATAAATAGGCGGTGATGTCCTTACATAGCCAATAGGATACACATATTTGTGGAGGAAAACTTAACAGGCACTTCAATTATGTATTAATCAAACATAGCTTAACACGAACTGACAAGGAACTTGGCAATCTGGCAGCCATCTGGAAGACTGGACTGTCCGAGGTGAGGAAGAGGAGCGGCTGAACCCGAGAGAAAGGAAAAACCAAGGAGGGGGACAAAGACAGCAAGACCGAGAGGGAGTATCAAGTATCACTGACGGCAAAAGGTGTGTTTTTCGTACATCACTGAGGAAGAGTATCGTCATTGTTGCCGGTTGCCGTTGTGCGTTACAAGTATTCTATGATTGCAGAGCAAGAGCATAGAATCAGAAAGCTCTCCAAATGGCACAGTTAAACAACCCGGCTGATCGGTTGCCATTGGCAGCCGCTTCCCTCCACAGATGGGGACACAGTAACGAGGCGAACAAGACAAAAACTGACAAGACTGTGATACAAACAAGGAAGCGATACTTCCATCTGGCTCTCACTGCACTTTGATTTGCTCCCTCCAGTGGTTAGAGCGATTTAGATTTAAACCGCTCGCAGTGCGCTAACAATCCTTTTCTCCTTAACAATCCAAGACTGATTTCACATTGTTCTCCACCTAAGTTATGTATGACAAACGCCTGGGGCCAAATCACCATCAAAGCAGCACATCGCGGGAACACAGTGCTTCCGAGATTCTTAGTGATGGCAGATGTCACTTTTGAAGTGAGCAAGGGGATGAAAGTGGCGGGATGTGACGGGCGGCAAAAGGACAGCCTCTCTGCCGCGACCTGCCATCATCAGTGCCGCGGAGGTGTAATGGGGAGAGACTGGAGGGGCCCCGGAAGCTACAGCGGGCTCCGTGGGAGTGTCTCTCTTGGTGCCCAGCAGGGGTCATGCCTTAAATGTTGCACCCACCTACCCAGGAGAGCAGCCAGCCTGGCATCTTCCTTTTGCCAGTCAGTCAACGCGGCTGGGATGGAAGCGTCTCCCTGCTTCACACCGGCTTGCTCTGCCGGTGGATTCGTCGGGGTATAGAGAGAATAGCTAATCTGAGGGAACCGGCGGCCCGGAATCAAAGGCCCACCGGCTTCTCTCCTCCTTGTGTGCAGCGGGGCTCACCTGGGTAACATCCCCGGCGTGAAGGAGCGAGCGGCAAGAGGACTCGGTAAACAAGGCAGAGCAATGCAACTGTCAAACAGAGAGGCAGCCAGTGCAGGGAAACCAAAACAAACTCTTAACTCGGGAAATTCAGAGAGCGTTTTCCCCTTGCCTGCTCCACTGTTCCCTGTGTCTTTATTGTGGCTTGATATGTCACCACTGTCTTTATCTCCTACTTACTCAGGACTTCAAGTGGCTGTCTCTATTTTGCTGGGCCATAAATTATTCAGTGCCGTGTGTCTTCTTAGTATCTGCGCTTTCCATTGGGATGCTATCTTATCCCCTGTTCTGCAAGAGGGGCTGGTGCTTTGAGACAGAGTTTGCAAAAGGTAACACAGGAACTTCAGCGCCGACATCCCCTTTCTTAGTAGGAGCTCTTGTCAAGTACATATATTTGTTCCGGCACAAGGAAAAAATGAAAAAGAAAAAACAGGAAAAAAAGTTGTATCTGAATTCAACATGGCAACCAACAAGCTCCTGTGCTGCTGCTACAACAACTTGGACTACTATCTGAGCCTAAAATAATGACAGTATTCCACACAGAGGAGTATGTTTTTGTGTTTCCCCCTGCGCATGCATGTGTGCGTTTGTGCAAGTGTGATTGTTTGTGTGAGTGCGGTTGTGTGTGTTGGAGCTAACGGAGCCTACTGTATGTAAATAGCCATATGAGACTGCATAGCATTACTGTCCACACATTGAAGAGGTGACCTGATCCCAATTAATCACACAATCCCAGGGAGAACTGTCACATCCCATCTCCATCAGCAGTAGCATCCTGTTCTGTCTCCCTCTCTCATGTCACCCTCTATTCCTCCATCTCTCTTCCTCTCCCACGCACACATACACGCATACACTACCCATCGCAGGCCCGTCGCACTCTCAACCAACTCCCCCACCTCGCCTCCCTCATTTTATTCAAACACACAGGGTCTAAAGCTGACAGGTCAGCTGGCGTGGGCCAGTCGGTCCCCACCTGTCCCCTTGCTTCTTCCCCCAGAAGGCAGAGTGCCAGAAAAATGGTGAAGAGGCACTTCTATCTTTACAGCTGCCAAAACCGGATGCAACCGGAAGCTTTCTATTCCCCC